TGTTTACATTTTGGATAGAACAGAAATTTTACATATACTTAATAATAAATTATTGATGTTTATATTAAAAAAATTGTGTTTACGATAAACAATTTTCTAGGAAAAAAAAAAAGATTATTTAATAGATAAAATATCGGAATAAAAATGAATACTAAATGTTTCTGTCATTATAAAAAAAAAAAACTAGATTTTCTTTTCTTGAAATAAGAAGAATGATTATGTTCATTAGGACTAGTCAAAAATGAAAGGCTCTATTTTTTTCATTTCATTATATATCATAAATCAAATTCTTTTCACTTCAACAATCTGCATTAATATAAATTCATTTATCATCAATGCATAACCATAATACTTACTAAACATAACATAAAGAAGACAAATTTAAGATCAGCAAGGTATACATTACTTTGAATAGATGACTTAGAATTTTCAAATGGTAACATCAACAAAATTAGTAAGTTATGTTCTGAGAATATGTTAGTTATATCGTCTTCGGAGAGTTAGACTTTTTTTTCTAATCAGATCAATGATTTCAGTATTCAGCTTCGTGATTCTTCGACCGGAATTCGCATGAAAAATATCATTTCCGATCGGAAAATGGTAGGAATTTGAAAGCAATATTATGATGATCGTGTTCGATGCTTGGCTATAGTCCATTATAGTCATTTCCTTCTGGAAGTGGAAAAATCTGCCCACTGAATTCACACATGGCATTTCTATTTCCACCATCTTACCGTTTTCCGGAAGCTTCTGAGTGAAATCGAATGCCCATCATTTACCTATATAATAATATCTAATTACACAATTTTGCAAAATGATATTGTCTCTCATTCGTTAAAAACAGGAAATAATTAATGATTATATGAAATAAGGAGTTGAACCTTTAACAAATCCTTGTCTCAAGAGAATACTTAATAGATAATGAATATAAAGTTCTCTCAGAATAGAAATTCAACATTTTCTAAAATCAATTTTTATGAAAAATTTTCGAAGAAAAGTACAAGTCACTTTTTTTTTTATTTTCCAAGTCGAAAGAATTAAGCTTTTGAATTAACAAAACATCGATAAATATTTGAAAATATACTTCATGAAATTCGAGCGTCAATATGCACGACATTTTGATAGCGAAAAAGTTAAACTTTCTTTCATTACCTATGATAGACAATTCTAATTATTACCCAATGTAAAATAAAAGGCAGATCACCATTTTTCGAATAAATTTTGATAAAAACGAGATAGAGAACTGTAATTTTCACTATTCGAAAGAGGAATGTCCGGACCATCCATCAGCATAGAACTCATTAAGACGAAAGATAATTTTTTTTATAGATATCTTTGGATCAACACTTTTTTCCTTGAGTATTCTCATCAATTTTCACAAGAATCTCAACTAAAATTATATCAAAATGTAGTTTAAATCAGCTACATTTTCTTCTATTATTCAGAAGAAGTCCGATAACTTAGCCATCTATCAACATGTGTGCATGATTTACTGTCCCTTGATTACATAGAACATTTATTTTAATTAGCGTTTTTCTTGTGTTAGGATTTACTTTCTGCTGATTAATTTAAAGAAGAGAAATGAGTGGGAATTGCGACAATCAATGTATTGTTAGAACAAAAAAAAAAGAGTTCCAACAAATATATAAACAAATAGCCAAACACAAAGAGAGATGACTGTTTAATCTTTTTATGAGCGTTGAATAGATCTCAAATCCACAGCTTTCAAGAATGCTGAAATATCAATATAATCTTTCTCATAACATTACTGCAGTTTAATTAAATATTCTTCGATTATGACTTTATGTTTCCAACGTTTTGGAGCTTCCATGTCATCTGGTATTCTTGTAATCGATTTTGAAGATTGTTCTGTCTGTAGTAAATCAATTGCAATGTAAATATTTGGATGTCGAGATTTTACATGTTTGTTTATTCGAAAATATAATTAATAGTACGTGGTGTTATATTATATTTGGAAAATTTATTGGAATTTTTCTTCTGAAAATACATAGACTGTCGCAATGCCTATTCATTTCTTTTCTTCGAAATAATCAACGAACAGTAAATCATGTAAACCCTATTCATAATATATGAAAGTCAGAAAAGCAGATATATCTTTTTCATTATTTTTCTGATAGATACAAATAAGAAATTTTAAAACATTGCGATTATTAGGAAAATGAGAGAGTTAATATTTCAACAAATCATTTTTGCTATTCTGTTACTTTACTGTATCCATATTTTTATAAAAAAAAAAAAAAGAATAAACGTGTTTTACATGTTGTGATATCAGAATATAGAATTAGTGACAATAGATTGTAAGAATAATTTAGATATCATTTGTTATGACTTGAAATAAATCAATTAAAAAAAAAAAAGAAAAGAATTGACTATGCTTCAGAAATGTTAGATCTAAGTGATATAAGATATGATTATTAGCTGAGATTGGAATAGCATTTTTTTGTAATTCCGTAATAAAAGATATCGTGAGTGTATAAACAAAAAAAAAATTGTTGTTTGTTAATATGATTTAATCGTATTTTGAAGTGCATTTGATAATAGAGATATCTTTAGATTGTTATTCTATATGTATCAACAATGATAAGTTGATTATATTTATTTTGTTCAATAGAATATATATTTTGACAATATTTTTTTTCATTTCTGAGACATAAAGACATTGTATGAGTCTTTGAAAAAATGTTGGTTTTTTTTCTCTAAAGTATTTATTCAGATGAGTAGGTAGTTGATGTGAGCGGTTTTTAAAAACAAGAGTGTTTTGCATCACATATATGCCTTATAATTATGATATAAGAGTATAATGAATACATATACGCACTAAGAAAGAGATTGATAGTTAACTTTGTTGTCTAAGTACTATAATTCATGGTATATAACGCATAATCATTCTTAATAAATTTTGGATTGAAATTTTCTGATAACACAGTAAAAGAAAGAAATCCAGAGAAAAAAATTAAATTTTTTTACTTTATGACGTTTTATGTGACTCTTTTTTTGTGAACTCTTGTCTAAATCAATTAGTTTATCTTGTTTATAAAATGTTATCTCTATTGTAAAATTTTCTCTAAGACATATATGTATAAAATAAATAATATAACATTTTTTGGCATTAACTAAAAAGTAACTAATCAAATTCTTAACATTGTCTCTACAAAACTAAAGAAACTTTAACATTTAATCTAACGTACATATTCAGTAAGAAGTCAATATCGAATATAATTAAATAAATTAACTCACGTATTGTTAACTTAAGTACTTCATTAATCAAATACTGATAGTTTTTCACTTCTTTTCAGAATAATAAAATATAAATGATTGGTATCATATGAACTTAGTACCATATATGAATAATATATCATTAGTAGAATATTCCAGTAATTACTTTACTTGTATTATCAACAGTAAAAAAAAAAACGAATTCACTACTAAATTATGTTCACTATACTTTTGAAATTAGACAGAAAAAAAAGAAGTATTACATTTCTCATGCGATATATTCAACAGTGCACTTGATTGAATATCATATTACAAGACTTGATCCATGATCTTACAAAAAAAAAATGAATTATTTCGGTATAAAATTCTTCTTTCTCATTTTACATAATTATATGCTCATCAAGAAATGATTACTTTCATTATATACATTAGCAAGCGAATATATAGAATAATGTATTAAAATAAATTAAGTATCTCTATCTATAATAATATCTTATATTTTGTTATTGAATTTTTAAAGTTAAAATATAAACTATTCTATAAGTTTATCTGTAGTAACACATGTTTAAAAATGCATATGAAAATAATTAATTTAAAATATAGCGTGTTTTATATTTTGTTGTTACTCATTATGATTACATTAAAGAATTATTAATGTACATATTACAGTAAAATTTTTTCATCATAATGAGTAATAATAGGTTTTTTTTTTTAATAATATTTTTGGTTTGGCTAATACATAAATGACAATTATTTTTTTTAAATAGATTTAATATTCATAGTAATGATTCTTAATGATAGAATTAAATTCATCGATTATAATTTTAACGATGTTTGCCATGTTAACAATGACATGTAAAACATGTTTATGTGTTCATTTTTTTTCAGTTACTAACGTTACTATTTGTTTTGACTGCAATGTTTTTTCCAAGTGTTTGCGTAGTAAAACAAAAGAAAATATTAGAAAAAGAATTACCGATCAAGGTAACTCAGTTCTATTTTCTTTTAAGATACAATGAAATTTTTCTGCTATATATACTTGAATAGTTTATTTTTATTTTAATAAAAATAAGATGTTTTTTTTTTGAATTTTAAAAAGATAAAACAATCAAAATTAGTGTAGAGAACGTAAACTTAATCTTTTATAAATAGTCATTCTAATTAATTACATAAAAAAAAAAAGGAAATAACAAATTAAATCAATGAAATAGTCGAACTTGTTGATCATGTTTTATAGTTGAAAATCACTGAAAGTAACCGGTTTTCTCTGAGCAATCGCTTCCACTATCCAATTGTTTCTAACTAAATAAAGGACGTAAATGATCGAAAACTTCCGACTTGAATTCCTACTTTCAATAGTTCATTAAACGCACCGGAAATCGATCGTTCTATATATATATATATACATATTGAATGATTTTAATTTTTATTTGAAATGCATATAAATAAAAGTCACTCTGTAAGTATCTTTTTGATATACGTATATTGAATGAACCAACTAGTATATAGTTCATTGTTACTATTATAGAATTATATTCATTTGTCAAAATAATTGGCAATAAATAAATATATATATATATTTGTTATTTAAAAAATAAATTTATATTTAAACAAAAGCTTTATCCGATTGATGTCTATCTTCATATCTTCGTCGAGTATTTTCATTCATTTCAATAAGTAAATTTTCATCATCATCAGTTGCATCTATTTGTTGTGGTCGATCAAATTGTGAATTATATTGTAAAGCACATTTACGATGACATAATTGATAACCATACATACGTTTATTTATTTGATAAATACGTTTTCGTGATTCAAAAGTCATATTTAAATCTATTGGATTTTTTTGTGGTCGCCGTACACTACGCATTGTAACAAGATCTGCTCGAGTTTGTTTTTGTAATGTTTCAGT